TCAGAAGTCTACTATTGGTAGTATCAGCAATTTCACAACAATAATAATAAAATTCATTTTGCCAACCCACAAATATGGGTGATCTTTCTATCTTCTAATCTCGCCTAATCTAAATTTAGTGCTTTATTACTGTAATGGAAGAAACTATTAACTCCTTGGTTAAGTTTATTTCTTTCTTATTTCCATTATGATATTAATATAAATGGTACTGTTTTCTTGTTTTATTTAATGAGTTTTATACCATTTATAGAAGAGTTATTGATTGCTAATTATTTTTATCCTTCTACATCATTGAAAGTATTTATGAAACTTAAGAGTTCTGGTATTTTTTTTTTATTAATTTGTTGAGAATTTCATGTAATGTATTTTTATGATATTCACCTTCCCTTTCCCAACTCTTCCAAGATTTTTGTGTAATGTTTTGAATAACACATCCAGTTCAATTCGTGCTTCCCATATACTCTTGAGTGTGAGGCAATGTGGTCGAGCAAATCTTAGCTGCAGTCACACCCTTTAGAAAACTTCCTTTCCCTCTCCAAGCAGCTATCAGTTACTGATAGCTCCTAAGCTAAGGGTGCCACTTCATGTCCATGTCCCTGGTCCATGCTGACATATAGCTTGAGTTTTGTACAGATTTTTGTGCATGCTGTCACAACTCTGTGTAGACAGCTAATATATACATGAGTACATGTGTCTAATTGAAGGCTATATAGCAAAAATCACAGTGTAAGGCCAGGGAAACTTCCCCTCAAGTTGTTGATCAGAATAACTCAAGAGACTCCTAAAATAACATAGAATAATATAGGATATTGCTTCAGTCCTTTATTGTCTCTCAGAACTTGAAGCTAAGACCCTATTGCTGAAAAATTCATGTACTCCAGACACAAGATTTGTAGTAATTGAACTGGAACTGTCCTCCTGGAAAACTGATTCCCCAAAGACAAGCTTTCATAATATCAGAAGATGCTATGTAAGTTGCCAAGGTATAACCAATCAATTACACCTATGAACCACAACAGTGACTGGACCATAGCAGAGGTAGAGGAGGACAGATTGTAAGTGCCAGAGGGACATGACACCTTCTACTACTTACTGCATTCCAGACAGGATAGGGACACTACACCTGTGGAATCTTCACAGCATGGTAGCCTTAAAATACTACATGACAAAACCTGTTGACATGCTAAGGTGTACCGGGAAACTTTTAGAGGTACCATTTCAAGATGCAAAGATAAAGAAACATATGGCTGCTGAAGGAGGGCTAATCAGTTGTATTCATTTTAAAATATTTTTAAGGGTATGTAAATACAACTAATAATGTAAGAAGAGGACAAGAAATTGAGAGGGAGTGTGTGGGACATGGGAGGAGTTGGAAGGAGACTAGGAAGGCTGTAAATAATGCAAATTTAAAAAGATGCATGCATGAAACTCCCCAAAATAAAATTATGGTAATAATCATAATGAAAAATAAAAATAAATTTTAAAAACTTTGTGATATCTACATTTTATTAGAAGGTAAATATGACAAAATGGACATAAAAAGATATTAATATTTTGGAATAGTGTTAATTATTCTTTCTATAATAGTCTACTGAATTTAATATTTCATTCTTTATAATCTTCTGGTTAATTGCACACTTTGGGAATATATGAGTCAAGGGAAATTCTGAGGTCCCTGGAGAATAGAGTGTTTCCTAAGGTTTCCTTTCTTATTCCATATGCTGCTTAAGTTGCAATGTTTTCACGGAGTTTGGTAGAAATATATATTCATGATTCTTGTATCTAATTTATTAGAGGAAACAATACATTCACCTTTATTCATTTGCTTCTTGTGTTGTTGTATGTCACCTATTACATTTACCTTTATTTTACATGCTCTGAAATACTTAATAGCCTGCAGACCAGATCATTAGTTGAAGTTCATTTTTAGTACAGGTAAAGAAAGCATGGGGAAGGATCCTGTGTTTTTAAAGTTTAATCTTTACATTAGTTTCTTTTGGTAAGTTACCATTTTTAAAAGCCTTTCATTGGGTAATGTCATAGTAGGTATAGCATTTAGAAGTGTGTGTTATCTGCTACAATCTTATGGATATTAAGTATTAGAAGTCATTTAATCCGAGTTTAAATGTTTTAATTCAATTCTGTTTGCAATCATTTTATAAGGGGTCATTATCCCAAGAATAAAGAATATAATTCTATTTGGAAACTCAATATATTCAAATCTCCTTGTGAATTTCAATTCTCTGTAGTCAGTCAACTTTCTTTGAGATTGCATTTCAATGTTACCCTAAAGGTGAGTCAGAGCTTTTGAAAAGAGCTCTGCTGTACAACTCTCTGGTGTGGTAGAAACCCACTAATATCTGTGCTGATGGTGGCCAGCATCATTAGTCATGTTTACCTATTTGTCATTTTATCTGATACTAATTCAAACATTGAAAATATAATTTTAGCTATTTTTTTTTTTTGAGACAGGGTCTCCCTGTAGCTCCAGCTGGCCTGGCACTCACTATCTAGACCAGGCTGGACTCCATTTCACAAAAGGCATATACTACCAAGCCCAGTTTCAATTTCAGTTAATTTTAAGTAATTCCAGTGTCTCTTGAATCATTTTGTTATACTTATGGGGCATTCAAATGTTATGGCTGATTAAATTTGTCAAGGTTTAAAGTGATTTATCAATAGACTTTTGCATTTTTCTAATAATTTGGTACGTAATAAGAATATGAGAAATCATTGAATATTATAGGCTAATAATTTATCAAAGGAAATTAAAAACCTCTTATTTAAGTTCCACTTAACTATTATCTCAAAGTAGTTACAGATTTTAAAATTGAGTAAATACTGTATTGAGTGAATGGAGACTTGAACGGATGAGAAGACACAGATGAAGATTTAAGCGGAGGAACTGAGACTCATGGTCTGCAGATGTAGGTCCTTCTCAGTTCTGAGTTTTTATTCAGTACAAAAGTAATGGATGCGTTGAGCTCACAGGAAATATTGTGCCAAAAACACATAAGACATACAATAATAAATTACATACAGTAACAAGTTAAGGAAAACAATATCTACATGCTATCAGACAAAGCAGCCTCTTAACTAAACTTATGTGTTAGAAATATCTGCTTCCTGGGATAACTTCAGCCCAACCAGAGAGTTTTCAAGAACTTAAGAACACATGCTTTGCCCCAGAGGTTCACCTTCTGGGTATACTGCTTTCAGTGATCACAGAGTTTTTTTGTCCTTTCACTGAATATTAACTCTGGAAGTATGGCACAATCTGTCAAGTCTCAAGACATACTAACTCTTCATGAAGTGGCTTGCTACAAAATATAATTGGCTAAATACCTTTTAAAACATTTTATACCTATGTATATTCCTACCCTTCCTATAAAAATACAAACCAAATCAAACCAAAACAAAGAACATATTCATATAGCTTTTGCCTCTGCACATATTGCTCACCTACTTATCTATCTACTTTCCTGTGCATGTAAAACGTGGTAGTTATTACACAATAAAGTGACACAGCATCTTGCATGCCAAGTATCCTGCTTTCTTTAATAAAACCTTATTAGGTGCTTGAGAGATGACTTTGTAGTAAGAGCTCTTAGTCTTATTGCAGACAACCTGGGTTTGTTTCAACACACATATGGGAACACATGATTGTCTTTAACAACAGTTTCAGGAAATCTGATGCCTTCTTCTGTCCTCCTGAAGTCACAGGCATGCATGTGGTGCACATCTATTCATGCAGAAAAAGCATTTATACATGTAAATTTTAAAAAATTTTAAAATCTTTAAAAACATCTTGTGATTCAAGTGTAATTATATCAAAACTGAGAAAAGATAAATTAGTTCTCCATGTTAAGACATGATAACATATTGAGCTAATGCTAATCAATTTCTCTTAATTCCAATTGAAACATATTAAATATGTTGAATTAATAAGGTTGATATGGATGCCCAATATTTTAATATGTATTTTATCTCTTCACATATTAAAATGTGGTTTCTCTTAGTTACATATACAACATACTTGAACGTGATAGAGGTAAAGAGAATAAGTGATGAAAAGAGTTCTGTTCTATAAAAGGGAAAATGATTCTCATAAAACTAAATTTAACCCATTCTTAAATAACTGAAATTTTTGATGTAGGTTTAAGAAACTCAAAATAGTTATGAAAATTATTTTATAAATAACACTAAAAAGAGTTGCAAGCTAGTAGCTAATTGTAATTTTTCACATGTAAATGGTTATCATTCATTTTGATGTACATATAGCACACATACTTAGAATATGACATATGCTATATATTACACATGCAAATTTATATAGTATAAACTTCCAAGTATTTGGGTAGCAAAATGAAGCACAAAAGTAAATGTTAAATTTGTTATTCAAAATGAAATACATTTGTGAGTTATTCTAAGATGGCTTCACTTTTATCGCCATTATGAGAAAAATCTTAGAAGAGGAAAGGGATCTATGTACTTTAAAGAGTGTCATGTCATCATCCTTGTCATCCTGTCCCCTTAACACCTATTTTTCTCATTACAAGGGCCTATCATCATAAATTCATATATCTGCATAATCAATGGTATAACTGATTTTAGATTTTTGCTCTTACCTCATTCTATATTCAAAATGAAGACTTTAAAAAGAGAACTTGGTTAATTTTTTTCACTTCCCTTCAACCACCATTGAATCTCTTGTTTATACATTATTTCCTTTAGAGGCAGAAACCTCAGAGATGCACTAAAACTTTTGAGAGCCAAAATATTTTCATGCATTTTTTTACGTAAAAAAAATCACACTTTTTTTTTTCACTGAAAACGGTCAAGAAAGTTCCAGATACTTTGAATGAAAATTTTCAGGTCCACCCAAATTACATTTATATATCTAACTACATGGTATGTGAATATTTCTTCTTGATTTAATATTTCTTCTTTGTGTTCTCTGTGCCAATTCTAATCCCTTACCTTTCCCATACCAGGTTTTAAGAAAAGTTATGGCTGATGAGAATTCTACAGTTGTTACTGAATTCATCCTTTTGGGACTGACTGACCGTGATGAACTAAAGATGGTACTTTTTGTCTTATTCCTGGTAATTTATACTGTAACCTTGTTGGGAAATCTGGGTATGATTTTCTTAATCTGCATCACTCCAAAGCTCCACACACCCATGTACTTTTTCTTAAGCTGCCTTTCATTCACAGATGCGTGCTATTCTTCAGTCATTGCACCCAAATTGCTGATCAGCTTCTGGGTGGTGAGGGAAACCATCTCCTTCTCTGCCTGCATTGTACAGCATTTGTTTTTTGGGGTGCTTATCACGACAGAAGGCTTCTTATTGTCAGTGATGGCTTATGACCGCTATGTGGCCATTGTCAACCCATTGCTGTACACAGTCTCCATGTCTAAGAGAAAGTGTACAGTGCTGGTCATTGGGTCTGTCACAGGTGGAATGGTTAATTCACTGACACACACTGTAAGCTTGGGGAGACTATCGTTCTGTGGGCCTAACATTGTGGGTCACTTCTTCTGTGATGTCCCGCCATTGCTGAAGCTGTCATGCTCTGATACCTCCATGAATGAGTTTTTGCTGTTGATCTTCTCAGGAGTTATTGCCATGGGCACTTTCTTGATTGTGATCATATCCTATTTGTTCATTGCTGTGGCTATCTTGAGAATCCGATCAGCTTCTGGAAGACAGAAAGCCTTCTCCACCTGTGCCTCTCACCTGACTGCTGTTACCATATTTTACGGCACCTTAAGTTTTAGTTACATTCAGCCAAGTTCCCAGTACTCTGTAGAACAAGAGAAGGTGGTTTCTGTGTTCTATACGCTAGTGATTCCCATGTTAAACCCAATGATTTACAGTCTCAGGAACAAGGAGGTAAAAGAAGCTGTGAAAAGAGCCATTGAAATGAAGCACTTCTCATGTTAATTTCAAATGAGTACAGACTCCCCCCAATTCTAACAGCAAGACTTTACTTAGTAACATTGCCATTAACTCAATATATTGTAGATTTTGTGTTTATAAATCATAATATTTTCAATATTTAGTTTTTACAGGAACAAGCAAGTTAGACAGCTGAATGATTCAGTGAATATTTTCACATTATAAAAAGTACCTTAGGGGATGAAGATTTGGTTAAGTGGTAAAGAGTAAAGAGCACTGACTGCTTTTCCACAGGATGTGGGTTGGAATTCCATCACCCATATGGCAGCGAACAGCTGTCCATAGTTTCAGTTTCAGGGGATCTGATGTCATCTTCTGGCCTCTGTAGATATTGCAGGCATTGCTGTACTTACATTATGCAAGCACAATACTCACAAACATACAAAAATGAAACTTAAATTCGTC